GTCCTATACAACTGAGCTACATCCCAAACCCTTAAATTTTAAAAATTTTAATTAGTTAATTGATTAATTTAGGTATCAGGGATCAAACTCAGGACCTTGCGCTTGTGAGGCAGGCATAGTGCCACTGAACTAAATTCCCAGCCCATAAGTTTTATTTTATTTTATTTTGAGACAGTGTTTTGCTGTGTTGCCTAGGCTAGCCTTGAATGTGAGATTCTTCTGCCTCAGCCTCTTAAATAGCTGGGAATATAGGTGTGCCACAGTGCCCTGCTTCTAATGTGAAATTATTTTTTCTACCTGACATCAGGCAGTGTCTGGTTCATTCTCAATGGCAACTACTCAAAAGAATTATATAACTCAAGAAGATATAAATTATTTTCTTGTTAGTTGCTTTATTAGAATTATTTACAAAAATGAGAAATTTCAATTAAAGAATTTGTAAAATGGGAATTTACTATAAAGGAATATAAGAATTTTTCTTCTGTGTAAGTAACTCCCTAAAAAGCAAAGAAATTATTAAGAGGTGATTAGATGTGGACAAGGAAGAACTAGGGCAATGGCTGTAAACCCATGCTACATGTGCCCCGTGGGCTGTTTGTATCATTACTCTAAAATGTTTGCTATCACTGAACTAGGACAACAAAAGAATTCCTATAATGCTGACTAATTTTGAATTGTGTCTTCTTTCCTGTCCCTTACAGTTTTCTTAAGTGTTCATTTAGTCTTAACCTACTTGAGCTTTCCTAATGCATCTGAAGTGCAGTCCCAACCTCTAAAACTTCAGAATTTCTGTTTACAAAATGAAGCTTAAACTTGTTAGTTTGATATTTAAGATCCTCTCTTTTGCTCTGGCTTCTGACTGCATTACCCTCTGTATATAATGAATAGTGCACTAATCAGTTCACTAATAGGAGCTTCTGAAGCCTAGAGTAATTGTTTTCATTCATGTTTCCTTACATTTTTATACTTAAGGCTTAAATAGGCATTTATGAACTTGATTGTGAGTCTTCTTTTATTCCTAGTACCTGTTGCAGTATCCATGAATATGCTAGGTACTTGCTTATAATTTAGTTTACCACAAAAAATAAATGAGACTTTTCAATATATATATATGATATATA